GCATGAATTAGTATAAATAAAATATAATTTATCTTTAATTATATATATATATATATATATATATATATAAAGATGAAGGTTATAATAACATCGGTGTAATTTTTACTAAGTATTACACCATTCAATAACTTTATATGAAATGTGAATTTTGTAAATCCAACCGTTAGATTGGAAGTTCATATCACTTTATATGTGTATATCAAATTTTGTTAAAATTGAACAACAACTTAAAAGTAATCAAAGTATTCATATTTTAGTATATTTTGAAATGAATATATTACGTCAATTTTTTTATAAGAAAAAAGTATCAAATCATCTTGGATTAATATAAAATTTTGTACATATGATTTAAAAGTAAAAAACTTTCAATCTAACGGTTGAATTTACAAAATTTACATTTAATATAAAGTTATTGAGCGGTGTAATATTTAGTAAAAGTTATACTGGTGTTATTATAACATTCCTCATATATAAATGTTATATGATTATTATAATGCTTAACAATATTTAATTTTATTTTATAATGAGTGATTAAAAATGTCATCAATTTGTTGAAATGTATGATAATAGTTAATATTGTTGGATACAAATGAAATTTTATATTGTTAGGACAAGAAATAAATATATTTATAAGTATTCACAAAGTTTTTATTAGTGTGAGATTTTTTGAATAATGACCAAAAATAAATTTGTAAGAGTTCAAGTCCTAAAATGGATATCATAAGGCTTATAATATATGCCCTTCCCTACTTAATAATACACGTTCATTATACTTTTTTTTCTCCAAAATATCTTTAATATTATAATTTCTAAATTTTCAACTTTACAAACCCCTTTTCATTACTTTCAACGGTTAGTTTTTTTTTTTTCATACTCACTTCTTTCACACACACCCTCTTCCATTTTTTTCAAGGATTTCAGCTATTCAATTTTTAAAAATTGATTTTACAAGTAAATAATTCCCTCATGATGTGTACACCACGTTCTTTATCCTCCTTCTTCTTTAGTATTTTGAAAAACACAATTCTAGAAAATACTTTCCATAATTATAAAAATATTCTTTTAAAAAGTTTTTTTAAAACACTAAAATTAATGTTTATGGTAACTAGTGCACATGAAAGAAATGATGTACAAGAATCTTAAAATTATATGTTTAAAAAAAAAACTACCATTTTAGTCCATTTTGAAATCCTGAAAATCGGAAAAAGGGGTGTGTGAAATGAATGAGTGTTTGAAAAAATAAGGGAACATTGGAGACAAGAGAAAGCAAATGGGTTCATGTAAAAGGAGTGAGTACTTGAAAAAAAAAATTTAAATGTTAGAGGCAAGAAGACAGAAAAGGGGTGAATGATTAAAAAAAATGGAACCTTGAAAAGAAGGGGAATTCATAATGTCAAGAAATATTAAAAAAAAAACATTAAGGGTAATTTTTAAAATAAAAAAGAATATAATGGAGGTGTATTATTAATGCAAGGAGATGTTTGTACTTTGTATCATGGGCTCATCATAATATTATACCAATGTTGAAATGTGTGTAACGATCAATCTAATGCTCTTATGATTGATTATCATCGATATTAAAATAATATTTATAAAAAAAAACATTTTGTAAATATAAATTAATAATTAAATCATTTTAATGCTCTACTAAAATTAAATTTCCACCTATAATAGACATAACAAAAATATATGTTCTACTGACAAATAATTTTCACCATGATAATAACTCGTGAATATATAATTATTGTATTAGTGAATAAAATAAAGAATGATTTATATATATCTATTGTCCAATCTAAACAAAAATAAATTAATATCTCTCAAGAATTAGACTTAACTTATTTTATTTTTATAGAGACTAATTTAATAAATAAAAAAATTGAAAGGCTAAAAGTAAATTTAAAATAATTTAAAAGGACTATTTTTTTTTTCATTTGCCACGTATATATTTCCGTTTGTTTATTATGTAAGACACCTTCATTGATGAAGTTACAAAAAATAATAAACTTAGCATATTATAATTTTTAGAGAAACTAATTATTGGCTTTCACACTGCGTGAATGGCATTTGTTTTATTTATGAAAAATGCTTAATCCGTCGAGCGTGACTGATTGTCCAAACTCCAAACTGAATAATGAGCTTTTTTCCTTGAACAGTACTGTCTCTATCCAAGGGATGAAGAGACATACGTAAGTGCTTAGCTAGATTACTCAATATATTAATTTAATATTCCAATTAAGAAAGAGAGAAAGTGGAAATAAATACTAGGAGAATATGTGGCATTTACACACACTTAGGTATTGGTAGTCCTAGATATCATATAATAACAATGGAAACAAAAGTGGTTCAAGATATTGTGATTGTCGGAGCTGGAATTGCTGGCCTTACAACGTCATTAGCACTTCACAGGTATCTTTAATCTTTCTCTCTCAAACCATTTATCCTTGTAACCATTAATTGATTTTTTTTTATTTATTTATTAAAAGAGTCCTCAACTTAATTAACTATATATACTTTATTATTGAGTAATTGATGTAATTTAATTAAGCTAGTGTTTGATAATTGATATTGATGGTTATAGGTTGGGTATCCCAAGTTTGGTGTTAGAATCATCAGATAGTTTGAGAGTCTCTGGCTTTGCTTTGTCAATATGGGAAAATGCTTGGAAGGCATTGGATGCTGTTGGCGTTGGAGACTTTCTCCGCCATCAACATGTCCAGCTCAATGGGTATGCTATGCACTCACTTTTCTTTTTTAATATTGTTTTTTAAGGTAAAATATATTTTAAGTCTCAAAATTGATTTTTTTTTCTATTTTAAAATTAAAAAACTTAAATACAATTCTATTGAGTAATGTTGGTGTTATTTTTTAAACAAAAATGAGTTTTATTTTGATCACAGGCGTTGATATTTAATGAAATTATTTATTACACATATATAAAACTTTAATGTTAATTGGTGAAATTATTTGGTGAAATTTTACGTCTGTCATGCTAATGATGAGTAAATTCAAATTATTTAAATCAAGTTTCTTAACTCAATGATTATAAGGTCTGTTTTAAGACACAGAGATTAATCTAGTGATTTTTCCTTTCTGTGTATTAAAATAATATTTAGTCAATAAAAATTATGTGTTTAATTATTAGCTTTTAGAGATTACGTGAATCATATTTATGGACTTAAAAAATAATTGAAATTATTGAAATTATTTAGGATGTGTTTGGCTGACCAACTTATTTGTCTGTGAAACTAAAATAGTGGAATTGGAGTGCAGGATGGTGTCTACTTCGTTGGTAACAGGGAAACAAACAGCAGCTGCGTCTTTCACAGCAACAGGAAAGCAGTAAGTACACTTTACAAATAAAATACACAATACGCCTTGGCTGTATTTTTTTTTTTTTTTTTTTTCTGGGGG